GATTCGTTCTTACCTATAGATCACGCAGGAGAGAACTTATGGTCTCATGAGATAATATAATTGATCGTGATTTTTATTAAAAAATTATCACTTCATTTTTAAAAATTATAATTTTTATAAGCAATCATAATATTTTGATATCAATTATATTTTTTACAATTATAAATTAATTTTTTAAAAAAATTATAATTTAACCTTAAAAATTATAAGACAATAGGGTAGTCGTCCTCTCTTTCGCCGGTAAAACCAGACGCGGCCTCAACGCCATTAATTGTCAACAGTCAACCCCTTCCCAGGTCACAACTGTCTTCGAATCTTCTACTACTGTATTTTTACTTTTATTTTTCTGCCTCTGGCATTCCAAACCAGACCTTTTCCATTTCTTGTATAGATAATTATATATACCCACACTCAATCCACCCATCTCCATCTCCATGGACAAAGTCCACTCTCTCTTTTTCCTCTCATGCTTCACCATTCTTAATTTAAACCCTCCCATCTCTTCCCCAACACTTCAAAGTTCAACCCCTCTTCAAGTTATCATCTTCTTCTGAAATTTCCTCTCCTCTTCTTCTTCTGTAAATTTGTTGTCATTGTTGTTGTTGTTGTTCTTCTTCTCTCTGATGGGGAACTATATTTCTTGTACCCTAGCAGCCCCACCAGGCAAACATTCAAGAGCTGCGAAAGTGATTTTTCCAACAGGAGAAATCCAACAATTCAACGAACCCACCAAGGCCGCAGAGCTCATGCTCGAGACACCGAACTTCTTCCTCGTAAACTCTAACTCCCTCCATATCGGACGACGATTCTCTGCCCTCAACGCCGACGAAGACCTCGAGATGGCCAATGTTTACGTCATGTTTCCGATGAGAAGACTCAATTCTGTGGTCACAGCAGCTGATGTGGGCGCTCTCTTCCTCACAGCCAATTCGGCCGCCAATCGAACGTCTGCCGGAAGGCCCGGAACTCTAAGGATCATGCCGGAGAACGGTGATCACCAGGCTCTGCAAATTTCTCAGGCTGCAGCGCAGACGAGAATTGAAGAAGCAGTGGTGCCCAAGTTGAATTTGGATGATATTGAAGAGTTTTCGACGCCGGAATGGAAGCATAGGTTGTCCGTGTGCAGGTCGAAGAAGCCATTGTTAGAGACTATCGCAGAAGAACCAATTTGCTCAAGATGATTACAAAAATGCTCATACATCTTCATTAAGTTCTCTTCTATTATTATCAGAGAGAGGAGAGAGACCATATGTTAGTTTTTTCCTCTTTGGGTCTGTGATATATGACAGTATATTTTTTGTTTAAAAGAAAAGTTGCAATTGTTTGGGGTTGTCTAATACAGCAGTTTGATCGTAATTCTCAGACAAATCTTATGTTTTGGGTATGAGCAGTCATTCATATTGCTAAAAAGTGGAATACTTTATAATTACAATAATTAATTTTATTATGAGTCACAGTATTTATTAAAATTTACTATTTATTCAATAATTATAATTATTAACTATATATTTTAAGTTTAAATAGTATTTTTTTTTTTGGGAATGTAAAAAGTTTAATACTAATTAAGGTTGAAGTTATTATTGTTTTTTTTTTCTTCAACGGTCAGCAGTCTTTAAGTCAGTTTACTCACACCTCGACTAATCTCTTCTTGGTCTGGTCAAATGCAAATCATCCACGTCAAGACTCAGATATTTATAAAAGATAAATCTCTTATGACCTGACCCCAAAGTGTTACGAATATATGAATTTATGATGTTTGAATTTATAGATCGTCTATTTTACTATTTAAGCTTCCTGTCAGAGTTTAAGGTAATATTTCAACCCGAGGATAAATGAGGTTGTTTGCATCGATTAGGGTTGATTTCAAAATTTTAGAATTAGTTCTAAATTTTATCATAATTTGACCCATTAAATTGTAATTGCACTTTTTGAATCATAATAAAATTTTAATTTTAATTTTTATAATTTTATAAATTTAAATTAATTATAAATATGTGACAGCAACGAGGGAGCTGTCTTGACCTACCACCACTTAGCCTTGTCCTCAAACGTGTCCCTCAATTTATCCCCCGGATCTTACTCGAGAGAGGAACGAAAATAGAAAAGAGGGAAAAGGAATTCCGTGTCAGAATTATAAGCAATTAAGATAAAGTCATTCCCATAAATTAGTTATTTGAATGTTGCCGGATATAAGTTGTTGATTTTTACTTATTACTTTTATATACATCGATCAATTAATCTATATAATAAAAAAAATTATAATTTAAATCTCAAAAGATAAACAAAATGACTTTTACTATTCGTGATTGAGATCGTTTTACATTTTATTTTAAAATTAATCTAACAGCTAATATTAACACCCTAAATTTAATAGGAAAAATAGATTCCTAAGGGTGTGTTTGAAGTGATTTTTTAAAAATACTTTTAGAAATTATTTCTCATAAATACTTTAANTTCTATGTCCTTCCTGTCCTCCAAACAATATCATATCCGGAAAAAAAAAAAGTATTGTATTAAAAAATATTATTTTTTAAAATCAAATTATACCTTNCTTTAAAAAAAATAGTGTTTGAAATCGTGCCACTGCCACCGCCACCACCACTGCCACCGCTGCAGTCGCCACCACCACCTGCCCCGCCACTGCTTCCACCCCCACCGCCACTCCAGTCATTGTCACCCACCACAACCATCACCGTTTCCTATCACCACCTCTGTTGTCCACCACCTTTCTCCCCCATTACAAATTGATACTTAATTTTTTTTATTTTTTTTCTATGTTTGTGATTTGATTTTGNGGGTCACACAGCTATGTGATTTCCTAAAGAAAATTTTAATCACAGTTTATCCACCGCTCATAAGACTACCAATATTGTCGACTAAACTCCAAAAGATAATTCACCCGAATCTTTTTCAACCTAAATCATCATATAAACTATCATTCCATCTATTATATCAATTGAGTCGATCCGATTCGTTCTTACCTATAGATCACGCAGGNGTTTGTGATTTGATTTTGGATATAAATCACAAATATGTTTATTATTTAGTATTTTTTATTACTATGTGCCTTTAGACATAGGCAATAACTAGGATTATAATATTTCTCCTAATTATGGATTAATATTGACTAAACCCAAAATATAAAATTCAAAAAATATTCGGNGGGAGAACTTATGGTCTCATGACATAATATAATTGATCGTGATTTTTATTAAAAAATTATCACTTCATTTTTAAAAATTATAATTTTTAAAAGCAATCATAATATTTTGATATCAATTATATTTTTTACAATTATAAATTAATTTTTAAAAAAAATTATAATTTAACCTTAAAAATTATAAGACAATAGGGTAGTCGTCCTCTCTTTTGCCGGTGAAACCAGACGCGGCCTCAACGCCATTAATTGTCAACAGTCAACCCCTTCCCAGGTCNTAATCCATCAATAACCGTCGACATGAATAAAATCATCAAAGACAATGATTATAAAAAAGATTATTTTTAGTAGAGAAGGTGAATATATTCTAATCTCTAAAAGACCCACGATCTAAACATTATGAAAAGTAGTTTTTAGATTAGTTTTAGGAACAATTAGCATTATAATTAAAATTATTTTATTCAGTTTTTTGTTTATGAAGTCCTTTCAATTGAATTAATAAATGAATCATATTTTATTTGTTTTATGTTATTCCATTTCATCTTTGCACAGTGTAATTTTTTATTATTTTTCATCAAAAGAAATCTTGAAATAAGACATCCAAAACAATCGTCCAAAAACTTTCTGTTGAGTGGAACATTTCTGTCGATCCCAACAAATTTTGGAGTAACAAATATATATCTATNTCTGTAAATTTGTTGTCATTGTTGTTGTTCTTCTTCTTCTTCTCTCTGATGGGGAACTATATTTCTTGTACCCTAGCAGCCCCACCAGGNTCTGTTGAGTGGAACATTTCTGTCGATCCCAACAAATTTTGGAGTAACAAATATATATCTATATCTATATCTATACTACTAAAAAAAGTACTTTAATATGAAAAAATTTTGATTCATTATTTTGCCCTTATAAAAAACTATAATGGCTAACATATCATTTTTGTATTTAAATATCTAAATTACCATTATATCCCTAAGTTTTTAAATAACAAATTTATCTCTAACAAATTACATAAATCTCTCTATCTTTGCAAAAATTTTGAATTGTCATGTTATGCTTAACATAATATATAAAAAAATATTATTTTTTTCAAAATTTCAATATTAATACACGTCGACAACTCTATTGATGCAATATCATTTCCAATGCCCAAAAATGCATATATATAGTTTTTCTTTTCATTTACAATCAAAATAATTTGATAAAAAATTATTGAGGCAAAAAATAAAAACAAGAAAGACAAAAGAAAATAAAAAAAATAAAAATTTATAATCCTTACTACTGAGTAGCTCGAATGAAAGAATCACAAAAAATAAGTCCATTGGATATTTATAGTTATGAAGAGAATATTAATAGTTTAAGTATGATAAATATTAAATAATATCTAATTATGGATTTTATCAAATATTTCAACAAAAAAATTCACGTGCAACGCAAGTGGTACATTGCTAATTAGTATTGGAATCAATTTATATATATATATATATATATATATATATATATATATTGAAAAANTGTAAATTGTAATAATTTTTTTATTTTTAAAAGAAAAGAATGTTAGACGATTACATCAGTCTGTTCAGAAAATTCAATATGTAAAAAGTTAATTAATTAATTAATTAATTACACAATGGGTCGTGGTTGGTCAATAAAGCTATTCTAATGCCATTGCATCATGAGGTTAGTTGTTACACCTTTCCTAAAATATCAAATGTTCCACACGTAGCATACACGGGATTATGTAATGTGATCTAGCAAGGCTTTAATCCACGGCCGTTTGGTGGTGACGTGGACCTTGCCCAAATTGTCGATCGGTCTTTCGTTATGTGTTGTCTTCTTCTCTCTGATGGGGAACTATATTTCTTGTACCCTAGCAGCCCCACCAGGCAAACATTCAAGAGCTGCGAAAGTGATTTTTCCAACAGGCGAAATCCAACAATTCAACGAACCCACCAAGGCCGCAGAGCTCATGCTCGAGACACCGAACTTCTTCCTCGTAAACTCTAACTCCCTCCATATCGGACGACGATTCTCTGCCCTCAACGCCGACGAAGACCTCGAGATGGCCAATGTTTACGTCATGTTTCCGATGAGAAGACTCAATTCTGTGGTCACAGCAGCTGATGTGGGCGCTCTCTTCCTCACAGCCAATTCGGCCGCCAATCGAACGTCTGCCGGAAGGCCCGGAACTCTAAGGATCATGCCGGAGAACGGTGATCACCAGGCTCTGCAAATTTCTCAGGCTGCAGCGCAGACGAGAATTGAAGAAGCAGTGGTGCCCAAGTTGAATTTGGATGATATTGAAGAGTTTTCGACGCCGGAATGGAAGCATAGGTTGTCCGTGTGCAGGTCGAAGAAGCCATTGTTAGAGACTATCGCAGAAGAACCAATTTGCTCAAGATGATTACAAAAATGCTCATACATCTTCATTAAGTTCTCTTCTATTATTATCAGAGAGAGGAGAGAGACCATATGTTAGTTTTTTCCTCTTTGGGTCTGTGATATATGACAGTATATTTTTTGTTTAAAAGAAAAGTTGCAATTGTTTGGGGTTGTCTAATACAGCAGTTTGATCGTAATTCTCAGACAAATCTTATGTTTTGGGTATGAGCANTTGCAATTGTTTGGGGTTGTCTAATACAGCAGTTTGATCGTAATTCTCAGACAAATCTTATGTTTTGGGTATGAGCAGTCATTCATATTGCTAAAAAGTGGAATACTTTATAATTACAATAATTAATTTTATTATGAGTCACAATATTTATTAAAATTTACTATTTATTCAATAATTATAATTATTAACTATATATTTTAAGTTTAAATAGTATTTTTTTTTTTTTGGGAATGTAAAAAGTTTAATACTAATTAAGGTTGAAGTTATTATTGTTTTTTTTTTCTTCAACGGTCAGCAGTCTTTAAGTCAGTTTACTCACACCTCGACTAATCTCTTCTTGGTCTGGTTAAATGCAAATCATCCACGTCAAGACTCAGATATTTATAAAAGATAAATCTCTCGTGATCTGACCCTAAAGTGTTACGAATATACGAACTTATGATGTTTGAATTTATAGATCTTCTATTTTACCATTTAAGCTTCCTGTCAGAGTTTAAGGTAATATTTCAACCCGAGGATAAATGAGGTTGTTTGCATCGATTAGGGTTGATTTCAAAATTTTAGAATTAGTTCTAAATTTTATCATAATTTGACCCATTAAATTGTAATTGCACTTTTTGAATCATAATAAAATTTTAATTTTAATTTTTATAATTTTATAAATTTAAATTAATTATAAATATGTGACAGCAACGAGGGAGCTGTCTTGACCTACCACCACTTAGCCTTGTCCTCAAACGTGTCCCTCAATTTATCCCCCGGATCTTACTCGAGAGAGGAACGAAAATAGAAAAGTGGGAAAAGGAATTCCGTGTCAGAATTATAAGCAATTAAGATAAAGTCATTCCCATAAATTAGTTATTTGAATGTTACCAGATATAAGTTGTTGATTTTTACTTATTACTTTTATATACATCGATCAATTAATCTATATGATAAAAAAATTTATAATTTAAATCTCAAAAGATAAACAAAATGACTTTTATTATTCGTGATTGAGATCGTTTTAAATTTTATTTTAAAATTAATCTAACAGCTAATATTAACACCCTAAATTTAATAGGAAAAATAGATTCCTAAGGGTGTGTTTGAAGTGATTTTTTAAAAATATTTTTAGAAATTATTTCTCATAAATACTTTAAAAAAAAAAAATAGTGTTTGAATCGTCCCGCCAACACCTGCCCCGCCACCGTCACCGCCACTGCCACCGCCACTGCCTCCACCACCATCGCCACTCCAGTCATTGTCACCCACCACAACCATCACCGTTTCCTATCACCACCACTGCTGTCCACCACTTTTCACCCCCACTACAAATTGATACTTAATTTTTTTTATTTTTTTTCTATGTTTGTGATTTGATTTTGGATATAAATCACAAATATGTTTATTATTTAATATTTTTTATTACTCTGTGCCTTTAGACATAGGCAATAACTAGGATTATAATATTTCTTCTAATTATGGATTAATATTGACTAAACCCAAAATATAAAATTCAAAAAATATTCGGTATATTGACTCTTGGCATTTCAAATACATTGCAGAAATATTATGGTTAACCATAGTCATATTTGAAAAAAAAAAGTAACGACTTGGAATTATCCATCAATAACCGTCGACATGAATAAAATCATCAAAGACAATAATTATAAAAAAGATTTTTAGTGGAGAAGGTGAATATATTCTAATCTCTAAAAGACCCACGATCTAAACATTATGAAAAATAATTTTTAGATTAGTTTTAGGAACAATTAGCATTATAATTAAAATTATTTTATTCAATTTTTTGTTACTGAAGTCCTTTCAATTGAATTAATAAATGAATCATATTTTATTTGTTTTATGTTATTCCATTTCATCTTTGCACAGTGTAATTTTTTATTATTTTTCATCAAAAGAAATCTTGAAATAAGACATCCAAAACAATCGTCCAAAAACTTTTTGTTGAGTGGAACATTTCTGTCGATCCCAACAAATTTTGGAGTAGCAAATATATACATATACTACTAATAAAAGTACCTTAATATGAAAAAATTTTGATTCATTATTTTGCCCTTATAAAAAACTATAATGGCTAACATATCATTTTTGTATTTAAATATCTAAATTACCATTATATCCCTAAGTTTTTAAATAACAAATTTATCTCTAACAAATTACATAAATCTCTCTATCTTTGCAAAAATTTTGAATTGTCATGTTATGCTTAACATAATATATAAAAAAATATTATTTTTTTCAAAATTTCAATATTAATACACGTCGACAACTCTATTGATGCAATATCATTTCCAATGCCCAAAAATGCATATATATAGTTTTTCTTTTCATTTACAATCAAAATAATTTGATAAAAAATTATTGAGGCAAAAAATAAAAACAAGAAAGACAAAAGAAAATAAAAAAAATAAAAATTTATAATCCTTACTACTGAGTAGCTCGAATGAAAGAATCACAAAAAATAAGTCCATTGGATATTTATAGTTATGAAGAGAATATTAATAGTTTAAGTATGATAAATATTAAATAATATCTAATTATGGATTTTATCAAATATTTCAACAAAAAAATTCACGTGCAACGCAAGTGGTACATTGCTAATTAGTATTGGAATCAATTTATATATATATATATATATATATATATATATATATATTGAAAAAATGTTAAAAAGATTTTAAATTATCCAGCCTAAACTTAGTTAGGAAATGCTTCAGAACAAAAACTTATAACAACAAAATTGACGTCTCACTGGAAGTATTGTTTATAAATTGTAATAATTTTTTTTTATTTTTAAAAGAAAAGAATGTTAGACGATTACATCAGTCTGTTCAGAAAATTCAACATGTAAAAAGTTAATTAATTAATTAATTACACAATGGGTCGTGGTTGGTCAATAAAGCTATTCTAATGCCATTGCATCATGAGGTTAGTTGTTACACCTTTCCTAAAATATCAAATGTCCCACACGTAGCGTACACGGGATTATGTAATCTGCTCTAACAAAGGCTTTAATCCACGGCCGTTTGGTGGTGACGTGGACCTTGCCCAAATTGTCGATCGGTCTTTCGTTATGTGTTGAAGTACGTAGAGTTACAAGGATAAATTTACAAAATGTTGGCATTTCATGTTAATTGTATATAATAGATTTAATCTTTATCTGATTAATAAAATTTTATGTTCGATACATAAAACACTGTCAAATTAATCGCAGACGAAAGTCTATAACGATGGACATACTTCACGTTTATGCCCGAAACACTCGTGTTTCACGTGCTTTAATTTATGACAAAAATTGAATAATAATCTGTGTCAGATCTATATTTCTACCAATTCACATCTTTCAGGGTACAAAATAAAATTAACTTGAAAAATAATGGGAAAGACTACGGTGCTGTTGTTAGTACTATACAAAAAATTATAATTTTTTAATATTAAGTTACAAATTTTTAATGTGTAAATTACAACTTGCAAAGAGCAGAATCAGTCTTAAAACATTTTACCAGGCCATGAAAATCACAACTTTCAAAGGTAAAGTTATAGCTCGTAAAAGAGAAATTATAACTGCTTAAAGGAATCTTGTACTCGATCATGAACTTCTCTCAACAAATTATAACTTTATTTTTTAAAGGTATAATCTTATTATTAAAAACAATAATTTTCGGTGTCGTACACTGTTCCATATATAATATCAATTTTCGCATATCTAATGATTGAATGCAAAAAATAATTTGTTATTATATTAAGAAGTTAAACATAAGCCTATCCATTAATCAACTTAGCAACCCATATATGGTATAATTGAATCCCGTAGGAGTCGGAGGATGGGATGGGATCCAAAATGGAGGAATGGAAAAGGTTTGAGAGAGACACATAATTTGATTACAAGTTTAATGTTGTTGGCAACAATAAAACCACCATAATCATATTTGTTGATGTCGTTGCGACCCCTGTCACCAACGTGGCTCGTGGTTGTGGTTGTGGTTGTGTCATCATCTCTTATCCTAATTAAACACTACAAGCAAACTTTTTTTTTTGTTGTTGTTGTTGAACGATTAGAGGTGTCTAGCACACTTCGATTATTCTTTTTCATCAGTCCGATCAAAGACATATCATTCACGTTAGAATTAGGGAATTCATAATAGATAAATTTTTAATAGCCTAATTCTAAAGAATTACTAAAATTCAAATTTTAAACGTTTGAATTTATAACTCGTCTTTCTTATCTCTCGAAGGACCATTGCGGTCCCAAGCAAACTATTACCTTTATCATTATTACCATTGTTGTTGCCACATAAAACAATCCGGACGAATGGGTCAATTGGGTTTAGCACTGACATTGGACGCACCAACCTGCAAGAAGAAGCATGGGCTTTGATAGATGGGCTAAACCTAATAGTGTACTAGCAGGGTTTGATTTGAGTTGGACGTCCAGGTTGCAATGGGGCCAAACCCAAGAATGTCATTCCATATATCAGCTGTATACTGTTTACATGTATCTGAAATATACAGTGCAATGAAGCATGATCCACTAATACACAAACACGCACATATATGTATAGAGAGAGAGAAAGAGAAAAGTGAAAATTGAGAAACCGTGTGTTCTTACATAAAACCCAAGTATCCATGATTGTATCACACAAGCCCAATCATAAAAGCCTTTGAAATTAGTAAGATATTCCGTTTGTTCGAATTCACGCTTTGAGATTAAATTCTTATTGAAATTGTGCTCTCATTTTACAAAATTTATATATTCAAATTTTCAATTCGTGAATGTCTACTCTTACTTGTATACTTATTCATTATTACCTAATTTTTTTTTTCAAAAGTATTGATACATATTAAACTAAAATAATATTTGTAACCTATAATTGTTATTTCATGACTTTATAAATGTATCTCTAATCCTGACTTAAACCTATATCAAATTAACAAAAAACTTATTCTAGATTTAAATCGAAAGAGACTCAAATTCTATACTAAATTTCAAAAAATAATTTTTTATCTTATCCAAAGCCAAAAGACTTGTTCGGTGACTTGTTGTCTTCTCCCTTCTACCTTCTACGTTGTTTCTATCATCGACCGCCACTGAAGCATTCAAGGATCATTTGAAAACCTGTAGGTAAGCTTCTTACTTTTCATCTTCCTTATTCTTGATTTCTTATATTTTTCAAAATTCTAATCTCATTCATGTTTCATATTATATAAACCCTAAACTTACCCATCAATTTTTTTTTTTTTGATTTTTTCGAGTTAAATATTGTTGTCGGTACAATTGTAGGCCTCCGATTCTTCCTAAAATTTCAAGTCTTCACTATCCACATATTTAGAAAATTCGTCATTTTATTTCTTCAATCATCCATTTTTGTTAAAAATGAACCATTTTTTTGTATTTTTCAGGCCAAACCCATATCAAAGTAAATATTTTTTTTCTCTGGATTTACAAAAGTAGATTATGGATTAGAACAATTTAAGAATTCTTGGGTGATTTTCTTTTATTTTTTCTGTTTCTTTTTATTCTCAGGTGGTGTTGTATCTATATTTAATTTTTTTTTGAATTACCCATTTATGGAAAGATATGAAAGTTTTATTTATTTTATCAGATTTTATAATTTGAATAATACAAAAAATGAGTTTTCAGATAATAAATAAAATTTTTAAAAGATTTGAGTAGATATTTGAGTTTGCCCGTTTGAATACTCTATATCAAACCAAACTTGTATGAGATTTATCCGCGCGTTTGGGATGTTATCCTCCCCCACAGAAGAATTTTGGTTGACCTGCGCTCGTTCGGCAGTAGCCTTTACCCCTGATCACTAACGACCTGATCAGGTGTCTAGTGGGTACCTCCTCCTTTGAGTGCAACTGTTTATATGTGAGGGGGGAAGGCAACTCTCTTCCGATGTGGGACGAAACTCCTGCGGGCGAAGAGGGGTAAAGGCTACTGTCGAACGCGCGCAGGTCAACCAAAATCCTTCCGTGGGGAATGCGCGGATAAATCCCCTACAGTTCTCTAGGCGCTCCGGTGCCCTCTCAATTATATTTAAATTTTATAGCTTTTGTGCTCCTGCTCTATGTGATATAAGTTGTGACAATTGAAAACGCCTGCCCCGATTTGTAGCTTTTTTTCTGGCAATGCCCACCGTCGCAGCACCGAAGATTATGGGCTATGTGGTGGGAGGGAGGCGGCCAACAATGGAGGAGTTTGGGTGGGCATGGCATGTTTACTCATGTGGCTAAGTTACGATCACACACAGTTTTTATTTAAAAATTCTTCAATTTTAGATAAGCAAATAATACAGTCCAATTTGCCGATATGCCCTTTTTGTCCTGGATGTTGATTGCATGGTTCTTTGACATAGACAGGAAACAACTTTTTGTGGATTAGGCAATTGGTGTTTGTTTCAATATAATAATAAAAGTGGGTAAAAATAATTTTTTTTTGGTACAAGAGGTAGGTCACTATTTGATAAAATATAATAAAAATTTGATATTTTATTCTCATAATACTATTTAAACGTATTAATCATGTCAATTTTGTGTTATTCGTGTTTGACACTAACACAACTCATTTATTATTCGTGTTAATAGAGTCGTGTCGAGAAATGACCAACCTTAACTCACTAATTTCGTATTAATTTCAAGTCGTGTTTTCATCTTGTGTCTGAAATTGTCGCTCCTAATTTTAAGCGGGTGAGGTTCTCTCAAATTTCATATCAATTGGAGGATTTTACAATTTGGTTTAAATGACTAAAATTTAAGCACATGATCGACGAGAGTTTACTAATTTTAGATTGTAAAAATTCGGGAATACTTTTCAAATTAGCTCAATCGAATGACTTAGATGAATAAAACTTAATCGTTTAAAAGAGAATTGAAGAATCATTCGATTCTTGAAAAATTAGAAGGGAATCGAATCCCATTTCAAATATCTCAATTTTGCAAGAATTTTCATCTATTTGTAAAGAAAAAGCAAGATTAAACACAACACACACACACATATATATGTATATATATCTATAAATAATGATATGTATCCCAAATTTATATTTTAAATCAAGGAGGATCATTGGATCAGTGAGTTCCATTTAAAAAAGTTGATGGAACCACTGATCTAATAGTCCTCTTTGATTTGGGATACAAATTTGAGTTACAAATTTGGGATACATAATACTACTCATATATCTATCTCTGACATAAAATGTATTAGAATTAGAAAAAAAAAAAAAAACAATTAAATGATGCACATGTGTGCATAGTATTGTTAATGTCATTTAGAAGATAAGATTTGGTCACCAAACAACGTGTTTTTGTCGCCAAATTGGCTGGCTAATGCACTGGTCTTACCGAAATAGGTTTAAGAGGTATGACCTTTCGATTAGAACGTCACATGTCTCTTGACACGCGGAGAGCAACTTACATATAGAAACTCATGAAATTTGAAATGAATTATTCAAGCGAGATATGATTGTGTCAAAGCTTTTTCATTGACAAAAAACGACTGAGTGCACAAGGATCGTTTAGGAAGAACAGATTATGCAAACAACAATTTGGAGCTGGTTTCGTAAATAGTATCGTTATATATAATAGAAAACATAAAAATTTGAGCTTCAAAATTCTAAAATTACAAGTATAAATTATTCTAATCTGAACACATAATCAGAGAAAAAACTAATACAATTGAGATGTTGAACTTCTGTTTATTGGTTTTTGATCAAAAAAAAAACTTCTGTTTATTGGTTCAAATGAACTAAGAATGAAACAAAGCAAAGGCAAAAGGTACCACTGAGCAAGGTCAGGCCAACAGTCCCACCAACCATGCCTACGAGTTCAAAAGCCTGAGAAAACACCACCTCCTTCTTGTATCTGTAATCAGACACTGGTGCATAATTCCAGCCATGCTCAGTTCTGCAACATCTCTCCAATCTCTCTTTGGTCCTAAGCTGTTCTATCTTCTCCCTCAGAATACTCAAATTTGCATCAACTATATTGTTTCTTCTCCCTGTCAAAGCCAACAAACCGAAATTACTTAGCCAAGTTCAGACTATTATCTGGTCTATCTATCAACATAACGAGGGTTGGCCTTGGCGCAGCGCTAATTCAAGTCACTCCACCGCAATGATTAGAGTCTCATACACTGCACCAACCTCTTTATTTATAGTATGAAAGGATTATAGCCAAATGATAGTTACCTTCGTCTCTAAAGCACTGCGCTTTCACTTGTAAGGATTGAGGAGTCCTCCACATCTGAGAAGGGATTATCGCAGCATAGAAAGAAGTGGCCATGTTTCTGTCTTTGTAGTTCCGTTTGTATGTAATGTTCGGTTTTGAAGAACTGATACGATGAGAAATTAGATGGAAGAAAAGAAAGTTTTTTGTTAAAAAGGAAGAGGGTTTCTTGCAAGAGCCCTGCCAGCTCTCTGTGGACAGAATTCCAGAACTTAAACAACTGGGTTGATGAGAATAAAGAAAAATTTCTTAAACCGTTTGAACTGGATCCCTCAACTTTTCAATATAGTATTACAGTAAGTTGTTCGTTCATTCATGAGTTGCAACTTGCAAGTCTCTCCGTTTATGTCTTATTAAACTCGTGTGGAAACAACTAACAAGGTGTGTTTTTGGTCAACATTTAGTCGAGACGGTATAGAGTTCAGCAACATGGCCGGCTTAATTTCAACGATGACGATCTTGTTTTTTTTTGTCTTTAAACTTGGAATTTTGTTGTGTGGGTCATTTTATAATTGCAATCTGTTTGTCACAATTAGAGGTTCACATCACATCAGGGCAGGGGTTAGGAAGAACAGATGATTTCCTTAGCATTACTGTATATTATAAGCTGTATTAGTGGAAACGCGTGGACGTGTGTAATGACAAAGGAGGAGAGAAGTGTACAGTTATTGATCGGCAATTTCAAATCTGTGAATCTGATATACCAAGGTTGGGTGCCCAACATTAAGGGCGGTTTGGTATGTTTTTTAAGAGGAGTTTGAATTGATTTGTCTAAATTCTTTTAAAATATTTAATGTTGTCTATACTCATATTTGGTATGCTTATACATAATTATTATGATAATATATTTGTATATAAATAACTGTTATCTCCTTTAACCAATTTGTATATATAGGGTATATAAAATATATGTGGGTATAAATATCATTTGTATTTTAAACTCATTAACTCACATGTGAAACCCACCCCCCTTGAATTTTATGATCGGCTTGGGTTTTAAACCCTGGATTAAATATATAGTTATCAAATATAAGTTTCAAGGGTTTATTTCTCGATCCATGTTCCAAAATCCCTCCAAACCCATATACCAAACAGGCCTAAGTCTTATGAGTTATTGCATGTGCATACAAATTTAAGAGTCACGAGTTTAAAAGGACGCATAATTTTGATAATTCTCGAGTATTATAAGAGAAAAAAAAATAAGAGACAGAGATTGAAGAAATTGTTTTAGATGACTGGAAAGTAATAAAAAAAAAAACAGAGACAGAGAGACTCAGTCAATTGTTCGTGGTCATGTCTATAAAAATTTGAGTAAATTATATTCAGATCTCTTGAAATTTGTTATTTAATTATTTAAACTCTTGACATTTGAAATATTATATACAAATCTTTTGTATGTGGGTAACATTTAGGCCTATGCCGTCAATATCTGTTATTATATCTGTTAGTAAATTACATCTAAACTTCTAAAGTTTGTAAACATCTAACAGTTGGATTCCTCAAATTTAAAAAATATTACACTTAAATTACTTGTTAGTTACAAAATTAACGAAATCTATTAAATGACAAAATTATTTCAATTAAAGATATAAGATATTGTGTCTATTATAGTTTAATCCATTATTTGATTTTTTAGTTTTATTCTCGTAGATTGTATAATTGTATGCAAATGAGTATTCAATTGAATTCTTTGATATATTTATACTGATTATTATACGCAGTTCNCATAGATAGTATAATTGTATGCAAATGAGTATTCAATTGAATTCTTTGATATATTTATACTGATTATTATACGCAGTTCATACTTTTAAGTCATTTATTAACTTAGACATCAGAGAGTAGACCTCCGGAACTCCTCTCCGATCTCCGATTTCTTTTTTAGGTGATTGAAGCCCAACAAACTGATGTGAAGATCATCCAAATTTTAACATCAACAATACTAATAATAATTTTTTTAAGAAAAAATATATTTTTATTTTTAATTTTATTTCAATAAATGACATAATTGAGCACGAATTTTGGTTGTAAAATTTAACATATTTGATATTCTATTTTTAATTAAAGTACTTTTGGTTTAAGTGTAATATTTTAAACTTGAGAAGACTAAGTGTTATATGCTTATAAATTTTAGAGGGTCTAAGTATAGTTTATTAATCAATATACGGACATTGACGACAGAGATATAAATATTACGTGCGGACAAAACTCAGAGATTTTTCCAAAAAATTAGCACCCTTAGAATTCAATTCAACATGTAATGGTACTGCGGTAAGCTCCTTTGAATAGTTCAGCCATTTGATTATGGTTCTGGCCATTGCTTTGAATACGGTAAAAAGGATAGCAGCAGGCATCACTGAGACGATATAGAAAGTTCTCGTAATCACCCCCCACATTCTAAGATGATGCATATTTTGCAAACACGGAGAGGCAAAATTGTGTTGAGTTTCAATGGGTTTGAATTAAAAAATATTTTAATAATTTTAAATTCGCTTATTAATTTGTATCTAACAAATTATATCATATGAAATTTGTATCGTACATAATTGATAATATAAATAAGTCGTATTATTTATTTTTTATTTTTTAACAATTTAAACTCAGAGAATAAAGTACAGAGGAATAATGAAGAGGGAAATCATAAACATAAAGATAAACTTTAGTGTTCCTAGATTATCCAAGTGTCTGGATTCCCTATCTTCAGCCACGTAGATCTTGACTGGCTTTGGTAGCTCAGTCTCTGTCAAAGCTTCCTTGGAATCCTGTGGCCAGTCCCCAGCCGGCTAACTCGTGATCGTCTACCCCACCCGTGTGCCGTCAATTTTTTCAATTAATTTTACTCATATCATATGTCATACATGATTGATTGTGTATCGTTTGTTTATTTATAAAATGGGTCACTTAAAAAATATTTAAATTTTTTAATTTTGTATCATGTTGTGTTAGTTTTATTTATTTACAAAATAAATGGCTTAAAAAAGACTTAAATTATCTAATTTTGTGTTATATTAACGAGTTATATCATATTTTACTATTCCTAATCTAAAGCATACAAATAAGGGCACTACCTAGATCTGCGGGCGAAATCATTTTCTAGTATAAATGTAACATCCACTTCATATTTATAATGAAATTTGAAGATTTTGTCTTATTTGATGCAACTAAGGTTGGCTTATAAGGGCTTGTTCAACGCGCAATTCAAAAATTCATCTTATAGATGTAAACATTCCTCAAAGAAATAAAATTATTTGGTGTTCAAAACAAATTAGACTTATCCATTCTAGAGAAATCTTTTGGGGGAACTTTCCAAAATCTTCCTACTTGCACTTCTCATAAAGTATCTTGCTAAAACATTAATTGTAAATAAATGTAATTAACTAGTTGTAGATAGACATCAATTCAAAAACACTTCTAAAATATACTTTTACCAAATATTTAGGTATTTTAAAAAATTCATCTTAAAAAGTCCATCTCAAAGATGTACTTTTACTTTGAGAAATTACACCAAACACAATCTAAGTCACTCTCCACCCACCGGATGACCCTGTTTAGCAAAGATCGTACAATTAAGTGTAAGAAGAATAGTCGTGTGTATTTTTTTTAAAATTTATTTAACTTTAAGTACCACATTCAGACTTATACTTTATCAAGTCATCTTTTTTATCAAATTATTGTCATTAAGTATACATTTCAAATTCTTNTAAAAACCCGACAGCAATTTCTCCATTCATTTTGCAGTGGCATCATCCGAGGGAACGTTACTTCCATCTATATAAATAAACGAACAAAACGTGTAAGAGTTTCAATCAAAGAGAAATAATGTCAAAAGTAAAAGTGTATTCCACTTGAAGAGTGACNACTATCCTAAATATTGTCTATTATTTTTAGTTTCAATGTTTTAAAATATAACAACTTCTAACTTGGGAATTGTGCTAGCATTAAATTAATTTTCTAAAATAGTAACATGCTCAACAAAAAACTAATAACATCAAACAGTAATATTCTCAATAAAAAACATAATTAAAAATTTAATCATTATATTAGAGTGACACCATATGAGTACTTAAAACTATTATGGATAAAATTGTGCCGCACAAATTGTTGCAAAAAAAATTGTATCCCAAGTGATATGTCAAAATTTTCATGTATTGAATAATTGATATAGTTAGTAAATCCTACTAATCCAACCACCTGCATTGATTTAGTATACAAAATTTGGACAAATATTTGTGCACCATAGGATTGCTCTTTTATCTTGTCCACAACAAAATAAATACTCATTGTATAATCACTCTACTTAAATTTTTAATTAATTTTTTATTAAGCATGTTATTAATTGATATTATTTTTTTTATTAAGTGTGTTAATGTTTAATATATATATATACACACACACACACACACACACACACACACAGAGAAGTGATAGAAAAATAATTTTAACGTTGACACTATTCCTAAGTTAATAGTTATTAATATTAATACAATTTTTAATTAAAAATGTAATATAATTCGAAAGAAACTCTAAAGTTAAAACTCAAATATATATCATCCCTTGGATGAGCGTGAGACGAGTAAACCCTACTTAAAAAATTAATAAAACTCACTCATCCAAATGATAATATGCATTTGAGTTACAACTTTTTAAATTTTATTTAAATTGTGTAACATTGCTCTTCCCAATTTATGAGTAATTAATTTTTTCAAACAAGTTTTAGTTAACTATAATTATTGAGGGTATTTTAAACAATGAAGATCAAAATGAACTAATTACCAAACAAATTTTTTTTGAGTGAACTTAAATCCAAATAAGTCCCTAAAAAGGACCATCCTCCGAAGTACCCTGACTTTATCCTGCCAGGAGTATTACACCACAAGCCTAATCACTCATCGCTCATCACTGCTAAACTCGAACATAATCTCAGCCAATTAAGTCTTTGGCATTAGCTAACAAATAAACCCCCTCACACCTTAGAAATGAGATGGGGGAAAGACTTCGCATGTAACAAATGTTGTAGTTTTACAGGTCTCGCGCACAGACAGTAATTTTACCTCAAAAGATAACAAAAAAAAAAACATCTTTGCAGATTATTTTCCGAATCATAGCAAACTACTCATCAATCTATAACCATTTGGATAACAATCGACAAGCTTCAAGACATTAAAAACCCGACAGCAATTTCTCCATTCATTTTGCAGTGGCATCATCCGAGGGAACGTTACTTCCATCTATATAAATAAACGAACAAAACGTGTAAGAGTTTCAATCAAAGAGAAATAATGTCAAAAGTAAAAGTGTATTCCACTTGAAGAGTGACTGAGGCAGTTTTATTATTACATTTAAGCATGGCGTAGTTACTTGGTTACCAATGTGCATACCTTCACCATCTGATGGAGCATAAGGAGATTTGCGGTATCGTGTTTGCTGCTGTGTTGGCTAAAACAAGAAGCACACCAAAAACAAGAAAGCGAAATGTCATAATCAAGAAGGAAGTAATGACTGCATAAAGTCGGTTCCCCCTTGGGGCGCACACAACATATACATAAAAAGTACAAAAGGAGAGGTGTATCAATTGAGAATGTACATGTATTACCATAACAAATCTCAGACAAGTTGATGCTGCTTTAACTTGGGTAGTCAATCTCAAAATAGATGGCTCACGTAATTTGTATGATGTGTGGGTGTCTTGTAAACCAGTGCAGATGCAGACTAGTATGCCACATTCATCTTCTTCTCTTCTTATTTTTTTTTATTTTTTATTTTTTTTTTGCCAAGCGAGGGTGGGGGTAGGGGACGCTCTTCAGGTTAAAGAGATAATGGAGTAGGCAAAAATTGGTCCAAACTATAATCAGATGAGGTAGGGACATGATGAATCAGAATGGAAAAGAGAAAGGCCACGGGTGCAAGTGAAAATGACAAATCCTTTGTGTAGGCCAGGGTATAAAATTTCAAGAGATTGCATGTAAATTTTTTTTTAATAAACAAAAGGTCATGGCCCTCCTCTATGCCTGCTCCCATATATCGTACAGGACAACTAATACAGAAACTGTTCAATTTCCTAATTATTTGCTCATTCTACAAATATTGACATTGTATGATAGTAGCAAGATTTTCCTACACCTATTTGTGCATCAGAAATTCTCAAATTACATGGTGGCATTTTCAGCCTTCTGAAATAGTCCAAAGGACAATATAGTTTCTGAATGTTAAGTTCTTTAAGATACATGGTTCCACCCTTGTTCGTCCATTACAACCCAACTTTGTCTTTCTACATCATATTGCCACTATTGTCAAGCATACAGTCAACTTTCCACAAGTCATGTGTCATTTACTTTTCAGATATGCAAGAATCCTGTGAAAAACAGTGGCCTAGTTGAATACTCAACTACAATGGACACATAATCACATACAGCCATTAGTCTGACAGATTTAGTTATATCGACAAATCATTTTCAAATGGGGAATCCTAAAACCTAATAGTATACTCATATTAGAATCTACTTGTCAAAGAAGCTTCACCCAAAGGAAAGAAAACGAGGGGGACCCCCACAGGTCTTTCAGTTGCCTTATTACTACTCCCAGGCATTCAAGCAGTCAATTGTTAATTGTCTTAAGTATCAGCTTATTCAATTTGTTGTTGCTACTTTATCTTGCATGATCACACTGAAAAGAAAATTGTTGAACACATAATAATATTACTTGTTAATGCACAGACTCATCATGGTTGATTAAGAACCACTGTACATTGTATTAATGTGAATGGGTTAGCAGAGCTCGCAACAAGTGCGCCACAAGAACGTACAACAGGCAAAGAGGAAAAAACAATTGAAAGTACCTGCAATTTAGGCCGGAGTGCTTCAAGTGGTCCCTTGGGCTTGTCCGCACCTTGCTGTGACAGTTAGAGCATTTTAGAGTATTAGGGAATCAACACGATGAAGGCAGTCTATAGTACTAGCTTCAAGCACAAAGAAAGTTATAAAGTAACCTTTCCAAGAGCCCAATCAGCGGAGTCAAAATAAGCACGTTCATGATCCTGACATCAAAAATAAAACTCTCAAGTAACAAACTGGGATCTGGCTCTAAATTTCCATACATAAATGCGACATTAATTGTGTAAAGCAAAGCCACAATACTACCTTAGAAATGAGTGGTGGTTTCTTAGGAATGATACCTCCATACTTTTTCTTCACAGCTTCCTCCTACAGAAAACAAATTCAAAAGATACACAAGTGCAAAGAAGTTGTTGCAACAGCATAAATCACTAAATAATTTAAATAAGATTTTAGATTCTAGATGAACTGCACATGCACAAAATTCAAGGATATGAATACCACCTCCTGTTTGGATGACGGCATAGATTTTCCAGAGTCTTCTGGCATGCTTCCATCGATCTGTTCATGCTCTCTGGCATCCTCCATGCCTGACATATTGTCCTTGCACCACCAACCTAAGTACCACAGCTGCACTTACATACGCCACTGTGTCCCATTAGTTTCTCATCAAGAAATGTCATAACAAAAGAAACTAATTCCATATTCTGAAGCAGATAACAACATCTCACGAGAAGGAAAGTGACAAAACTGAAAAAAAAGTTTCACAGAGAGTAAACAATATGCTAGTAACCAAATAAAATCAGTATCATCATATAAAAAAATATCCACGAAGCAATCATCCATCACACAAATTGGACATCCTCTTGAACCACGTTCACATCAAATCACAGAGCAAAAGGTCCAGAAAAGTAAATCATGACCAAATAAGTAGTCCATTTCACAACTCCAAGTACAAATTGAAACCAAAATACACTGCCTAATTCTCTCCATAATGATGGGTTGACTAAGCAGCATGAGATTTTTTTTTATTTTTTATTTTTATTTTGCTGGCAACAGAACAAACATCGTTGCATGAATGCACCCATTAGTCACTTGAAATGCATACAAGGATCAATAAGGAGATCTCCACAAGTAAATGTGACCCAGTATTCATAATTCTAATATTGCTACACAGATTTAACTACTTCAAAGAAAATCGCTACAGAAATTTGACAAATTCAGAAAACTAAATTTCGGAAAAAACTAATTCTAGATTTGACAAATTCCAACAAATTATTTTAAAGAAAATGCCAAAATACACAATTCGAGATTAAATATAACCATAAGTTACTCGTAAAGCATATTTTTTCCAAAGAAAATCACAAAAAACATACAATTCGATGTTAGATCTGAGCATTTTGGACTAAATTTAACTACAAATGACCTGAAATTGGATCAGATCTGAGTTCGTCTCGGCTGTTCCTTATCGCAAGTCTTATCTCTTCTTCTACGACAGAGAAGCTCTAATACAAGCAACGGGCCTCAAGTGCGTGCGAGAGAGAGAGACGTGAGATGCGACAGAGAGTGATGATCGGGTAACGATCGGGTTTTTAAGACAGATGTGAGGAGTTCAGATAGCGGGTGTTTGGATCTGGGCTATCACCGTGTGGGTTGGGAATAAGAAATGCCATGATGTATTGGTATTTGGTAATGTTTAATCTCATTTGTGGGATCAGGTTTTCCCTTGGAATGATAATGCATTTTGAATTTTGCAAACGAACATTATCGTGGAATACTTATTTAATTCCTAATATCTAATAATATTTTAATATATTGATGGTATAATATAAAAAAAATTTATAAAATAATTTTTTTTAATCTTTCAAGATATAAAATATAATTCGCTGTTATTTTTAGTATTTGGTCATTAGTGTTTTTTATTAATCGTTAATTATTAAGACTACTTGTACGGAAAGTCTCAAAAGTATAAGATTTATTTTATTTTAGTTTCTAATATTTATTTGCATCATTTTATTTTCTAAAGTATTGAATATATTTTTATGTAATCTCTCAAGAAGACAACATTTGCTAATAATTTGTGATAATAAACTTGTCACATAATATCTAAATATGAGTAAAAAAATAATTTGAATAACTCTTAATCAAAATTCTATCCAAATTTTAGTCAAAGAACTATCTATATTATACAATTTTGATTATGAGTTATTCAAAATTTAGTTAAGTGCCACCCATATTAAACATTTTTTGTTAAGATACTTAAATTATTATTTTTTTATATTTATGTATCATGTAACATGTTAATAATAAAAAAATATTAGTAATTTTGATGATGTTTACTTGAAATATCATACAGAAACATAATCAATACTTAAAAAATCAAAATGATGTAATTAAAATATTGAGAATCAAAATGAGATAAACTATATACTTTGAAAACCTCTCGTATAATTAACCCTAATTATTAATAAATAATTATTTTATATTATTTTTTTAATCAAACTTCTCACTATGTCGCTCATTTTTGACTTTTTTTTTTTGGGGGTTTAATTTGCTCTCAACCCTTCTCACTACCTCATTATCACTCTATATTTCTCTTGTCTCCGTCTCCGACCTCTCTTTCATGAAAAGATATTTAACATAATAAAAATATTATATTATCACCGATACGTTGGTGCCACCGTTGAAAATAAGCTCAGAATTAAACAAAATAAACCATATATTAATTATTAGATGTGATGATATGGAATATTTTAAAATAATAGAATTGAGTTTACTATTTTTTGTTTTGGACAAATTGTATTTTATATCCTAATTTTTTAAAAAATTTTTTTACTTTATACGTCAAAAGATTAAATTTCTCACATTACATTTTTAATATATTAAAAATATTACAATGTAATTTTTCTGTTAATTTTTTTTATTAGTATTTGGAATAACTTTTGAAGAAAAAAAATAACGAAAATTAACAAAAATGTTATATTATAATATTTTTTTTATATATTGATGGTGTAATATATTAAATTTAATTTTTAAAATTATAAAATAAAAATTTTAAAATTTTTTAGGGTGTAAAGTGAAAAAAATTCTTTTTATTTTTCATTAATAGTAGCATCACAACAATTCACTTTATATAATTACGAGTAAAATTATTTTTACATAAAAAAACATGTTGCACGGAGATTAAATTGATAGCCCAGTAGGCGTCGATGAAGAGGGTAGAAGGATGCTTCTATCGTCACTGATGCTTCGCCGCTTTTGCTGTTTCGGTGCAATCTCTACTTCTCCTTCTATTGCTTCTTCACCTCCCAACCCTGCTATCAAGAAAAAGCAACTTATCTTCTTGGGTTCCCCTCAGGTACACACACACACACTCTCTCTCTCTCTCTCTGCCTCCCAGTGTGTGTGTGTGTGTATTTTGGATGTATTAACGTTGTACAAATAGTCATAATTGATGCAATTTTTGCGAAGCAGGTTTCTGCTTCTGTTCTTGACGTACTGTTCAATGCGTCTTCCGCTCCAGATTCCTTGTTTGAGGTACCCAAATTGCTCAATGCATGACCTCCGATTATGATATCCTATGCCAAATTCTTCAATGCTTCGAATGGCTTGGCTGCTATATTTTCTATTAGGGTTTATTGAATTCTCTTTTTATTGGGAATTTCATTGTCTTAATTTTTCATGTTCAGAGTTACATTTCTAAGCAGTGTATGGCATATAGAATGGAATGTGATTTTAAATGCAAGTTGATATGTCTAAGGTTGCAGCAATTGTTACCCAGCCGCCGTCTGGAAGAGATAGGGGAAGAAAAGTGATGCCTTCTCCGGTCGCACAGCATGCTCTTGACAAGGGCTTCCCTTCTGATTTGATTTTCACACCCTTACGAGCTGGTGATGTAATTATCGTCTCTGAATTATATTGTTACATTGTCTACCAAGACATAATTTTTTCTTCTCTTTATATGAAGTTTTTGAAAAACCTTGTATTACTGTGGCTTCCTAATTTTTTTGCAAATGTTATCTACTTTTCTATATATTCCGCGTCGCATAGACCATTTACATGTGCTAGGTTGTTGACTTGGTAATATGGTTTCAGAAGCTATTTGCCCTCAAATTAGTGGGAGTTATTGTGCCACTAGTATTTTCTCCTTTACAACTCAAATTACTTGATGAGCATTCGTAGTTAGCTACTGTGCCAGTCTAGTCTCTATATTTTTTAAACATAGTTTTTTTCTATGAAGTACGGATACGGGAACGATATGATACGGATACTGCGATACGATAAAGTCTAAAAAAGTAGGAAACGGGTACGGCCAGGATATGACTATAATAAAATATATTTATTATTTTCAACCAACTTAACACTTATATATTTTGGTAGTTGTTTAACATATAATAAGGAAAATTAGTAATTCTTTTTAGTTTCAAAAAATATATATGGTATCGTTGTGGTACATTCACAAAGTGAAGTGACTAATTAAAGGAATCAAAACTAATATTTATCTAGTATTTAGAAGTAATTTTTGCCAAGATTATAATGTAATAGCTTTACTATATGGTCTTTTTGACATAAAATTGCAAATAATACTTAAAAAATACTCATGTACCTTTGAAATAATATGAAATTTTTGTTAATGTATTGTATGGTATGTGAATTCAAAAAGAGATGTTAAAAGTTCAACAAAAAATTTATATATGTTGTTCTACTACAAAAGTATCCGTGAAGTATCCTAATATTTGATTATTAACGGATACGTAGAAGGTGTATCTGATATGTATCCGACGAGTATCGTATCCGATACGGGTACGTCAATCTCAACGAAGTATCCGTGCTTCATAGGTGTTTTTGTTTAGCTAATGCATTGAAGTTCTTGATACTTTCCAGTGGCCTAATAACTGCTTGCAGGAAGGGTTTTTAATTTCGACTTACTGTCCTGCAGGAGGAGTTCCTGTTTAACTTGAGAGCTCTGGAACCTGAACTTTGTATCACAGCAGCATATGGGAATATCTTACCTAACAAATTTCTAAAGATACCATCACTGGGTTAGTTAAAAGATTTCTTTAATAACGCTTTTCCTTAATGTGCAAAGAATACAGGAAAGCTTCATATTCTAAACTATGACTTCCTTAGAGTTATGAGCTAATTAGTCACAGGCCATTAACCTAAGAGAGATGGGTAAATATGATCTTTAAGGCCCTGGTATCATATAGCCTAAATATGATGGATCATGGGAGTTTGTTAATAATATAGTTTTTAGCATCAGAAAATTTGATCTTACTTTAAACACATTTGCTCTTTTTTCAATATCTTTTATAATGAAGCCAATATGTAAATAGATGCACTTGTTTTCTTCCCTGTATTATTCTGTTGTCTTTTTTTTTTTCTGTATCTTATGTGCAGTTCCCATTTACGGTGTATGTTTTTTATCAACCTGCTCAGTGTATAAATCGAAGGGCAGAAGGTTTGATTGTTGGGTGATGGGAGTGCTTGTATTGCATGATTTTGTCTGACATTTTGGTTCACCCCTCTGAATTCAACTGATTATTTATTCAATGTCAAATGTAATCCTCCAGGAACAGTCAATATACATCCAAGCCTGCTGCCTCTATATCGTGGTGCAGCTCCTGTTCAAAGAGCGTTGCAGGTTCATTGATGTGTTTGTGTTTCTTTTTTTTTTGGCAATGGATGATGTCTTTCAAATGCATATCTAACTGGATTTGTTTTTTATATTGTTCCCTCAAATTATGAAATTTAACACCAGGATGGTGTGAAAGAAACAGGAGTATCATTAGCATTCACTGTCCGTCAACTAGATGCGGGACCTGTTATTGCCTGTGAAAGAGTGCAAGTAGATGATCAGATAAAGGTATATACAATGCTTGTTTAGAGGTCCCAGTGTTATCTGAAACTGGGACCAATAGGTATTAACATGGATATGGGGATAACTTCTTTGGCTTCATGACTGCTCTCTCTCTCTCTCTCTTCCCCTCACCCATGGCAATTAGCTTTTATCATGGCCTGCAAGTTTTGCCAATGCTTGCTGCATTTTCTGGTCTGGCAATCAAAATTATCATTTGACCATGTTATCAACATAAACCTTTGATTAGCATTGACTGCTTCCTGAGGATTTTTTTTGCTAATGCTTTGAGTGATCGGAATGCAGGCACCAGATTTACTTGACTCGTTATTTGCTCGAGGTATCTTATTGGGTTCTCCTCTTCCTAGTTCCTCCTTAACATCTGTACCTGAAACATTCTTCTAGATTAGTGCTTGCTATGCATCTTGAGTTATAAATCATATGTTCTTCCTCAGTATGACTTGACTACATAGGAATTTCCTCCTTTTAGGACTTTGAGTAGCCTTTAGCCAACTGCATTCGGATATTATTGAAACTATATCATGCACAGACACCCCCTCCTAGCCTCCGTGTGTCTCATATCAGCAAGCTATCATTTTCGCTTCTTGTATTAGCCAATCTGTAATCATGGGGATCCACTTGCAGATGTGAACTTTCTCAAGCAATATTTTTTATTTATTTAAAATTGTTAAGTAAAAATTTGATCAACATATAGCCTTTAATTAGGACCATGCTTTATTCTTAAGATTTCTCTATTTCCTATCTACGTAGTAACTCATGATTGTACCATCTTAATTGGGGACCTTTTAGTTATGTCAATAACATATTTATGGGACGGAAAATGTTCAAACTGGAAGAGCTTCTGGTGTCTATTTCATTTGTATGCATTGCTTCTCATATGTATTTCCTGTTCTGGCAGTTATCACAGTAGATTACAATTGTTACTATTTTATCTGCTGGATTTGTGTGGTATCATTGGATTTTTGCATTAAGGTATCTTTGCTGATGACTTACATGCCATTAAAATATGTAGGATCTAATCTTCTAATCCGTGAGCTTCCCTCTATATTTGACGGATCAGCAAGAGTGCAAGCTCAAGCCCAAGATGACTCTAAGGCTACTTTGGCTCCAAAGGTGCTGTACCTGATAACACAATCATAGCTGATTGTCAATTAAGAATATCATGTAATGGTGCATGCATTTACCTCTATTTGATTTTTCATAGTATGTCAAAATATTCACGGGCACTCAAAAAGTTAATTGTATCCTGTATGCACCTATGTACCAATTTAAAAAGCTTCTAGAAAAAAGGCCTCCCCGGTTTAGAGTTAGAGAAAAACCAAGAGAGCAGAATACAAATGCCCAGATCCTTTGTAGAGTAGTTTTACCTTGCAATCCCTTAAAGATCTTATAAATTCTATTTTCTCTATTCAGATTTTGAGGTGTAAAATGTTTTAGACTCTTTCCTTTTTTTTTTGTTTGTCTTTGTTTTGGTTTCCCGGAAGGAATAGTGAATTATTCCTTCCCTCTCTTCTTACTTTTCTTCTCATTTAAAAAATTATCTGCTCTATCTATGGCATAAAACAAATAAGATTGACTGTTGCATGCAGATAACTCCTGAGGAGTCATGGCTATCGTTTGACGAAGAAGCTTTAGTCTTGCATAATAAGGTATGCTCTTAATTTATTCTTCTCTTGATCTTTTTATGGGATCATGACATGCAATTGTTTAGGTACGGGCATTTGCAGGGTGGCCAGGAACCCGAGCTAGGGTTGTAGTATTCGACGACAAAACCAGCCAGTGCAATACCCTAGAGCTTAAAATTATCACTACAAGGGTATATGGAGGTAACAATGTTCCAATTGACAAAATTGATGAAGTGATTTTTACCAAAGGTTCACTGGTGTTCCGTTGTGGTAGATGCACAGCTCTGGAGGTTAGCAGCCATTTACCAGTTGTTTACTTATGTGATATTTAAGTATTTATTCTAGGGTTTTCCTTTTCTGTACCTACGGCTTGTTGCAGTCTTGTATGCATATGTATGTGGCCTTTTATATGTATGTGTTTTGCAATTGTATGTGTTTTTTGGTGTGGTGTTTGGGCAACATATTCCCCCAAAACTGTGTTGAAGCGTGTTTTAGATCATGTACCTATCTTTACTAGGGAGGGAGTGAGCAACCATTTTTCCTTTACCTTGAAAGCCTAAGGTGAATGTCATCCCATAAAATATGTTTATTGTCAGTTTATTTTCTTATTTTTTGTGTACTTGCCTGTCTTTCAGTTTTCTTGTCATAGTGTGTGTTTGGGGGGGTGGTTACGATGTCGCCGGCTTGCCGTGTTGGTTGTTACAATCTTACACTGATGTACTTAACAAGACCAGGATAACCGTGCATGTTCTTGCTACTAATTTTGATGTTGGCACTTTGTTGACACTCAGGTTCTGGAAGTACAGCTTCCCGGTAAAAAAGTGATAAATGTAGCTGCATTTTGGAATGGTTTGCGAGGTCAAAAGCTGAAGAAGTTATAACCAATGTGCCAATTTATCTGCACAGTAAATCAAGGTACAGGTTGGAAAGTTCGGTAAACTCTCTCTCTTATTGTGACACCTGATGAACGTACAAGTGTTACAATAATATGTAGATGAGTTTTGGCTGGTACAACCACTCTATTATCCACTTCTAATAAACGTAATTGACCCAATTCTGGATCATCTTCTGGAATCGTATAACTATGAGAAGGGAGTGACTATTCATCAGAAGAGTTATAGTCTGAATACTCATAAGTCCGATATCATTGATTTCCAATGGCTTCGATAGTAATGGCTGAAACTACTACTACCTCGTCCATTGTTTATAAAAGAGCACAAATGATGGTATAACAATGAGCATCGGGATGATAATGTGAACAATTTCCTTATTGTGATCGTAGAGGAGTTACTTTTGTAATACTTCAAAGACCCCCTTCTCTTTTTATGTTTTAGAGTAGTGGTGCCATAGGGTAGATAGACTGTTTTTTTTTTTGAAATGTATACATCATTTGTTTAGCCCACTCCTAATGGAAAAAGAGGAAGATGGAAGCCTCCAACCAATTTGTGGGGATCAAATTTAGATCTTAATGTTGCTAAGGTTACCTGAGACTTCCGACCTAGGAGGTGAGGTACTGTCCATCTGGGTTAATCAGTGATGGTTGAGTTGGGCTGTAACATCAAGATATTTGATTGATGGCATGCTTAATCGTATTTTTGGGCAACTTTAATTCATCTATAACTCTATAGGGTTAATGTATGCTATTATTTTGCAGAGATGGGAATGAGGTCGAAGCATGTGCTGAGATATAGTCAGCCCTTTTGTGGAAAATTGCATATTAATTGGAAGATTTTGGACCTGCCTTCTGATCGGCGCATTAGGAGAGCAATGTCAAGAAAAATCAGAATCTGGGATATTTTTCGTTTTGCATCTAACTTATTTTTGTACTAGTTATTTTTCGTGCCAAATAATAAAAAAAATAGTCAATAATAAATATATTTTTATTTATATCTAAAATTAAATCATAAAAAAAATTAAAAAATTTAAGCACTAATTGTAGTGGGGTGAATGGTGATAGTGGTGGTAGCCGTGAGTCACAACGATGATGGTGGTAGTTGCAGCCATGGATGACGGCAGTTGTGGGTGGTGGGGTGACGACGATGGTGGTGTCATTGGTGAGCAGTGATAATGGTGGTGGTGGACAACGATGAGTGTTTCTAGGTGATAGTGTAATGGGTGGCGGGAATGGTGGTAGTTGTGGGTGGCGGCAGTGGTGGGTGTTGATGGGTGGTGGTAGGCGTGGTGAGGGTGGGTGATAATGGTTGGTGACGATGGTGGTAGGTTGTGGTAGTGGGCAACNTAATTGACCCAATTCTGGATCATCTTCTGGAATCGTATAACTATGAGAAGGGAGTGACTATTCATTAGAAGAGTTATAGTCTGAATACTCATAAGTCCGATATCATTGATTTCCAATGGCTTNTATGAGAAGGGAGTGACTATTCATCAGAAGAGTTATAGTCTGAATACTCATAAGTCCGATATCATTGATTTCCAATGGCTTCGATAGTAATGGCTGAAACTACTACTACCTCGTCCATTGTTTATAAAAGAGCACAAATGATGGTATAACAATGAGCATCGGGATGATAATGTGAACAATTTCCTTATTGTGATCGTAGAGGAGTTACTTTTGTAATACTTCAAAGACCCCCTTCTCTTTTTATGTTTTAGAGTAGTGGTGCCATAGGGTAGATAGACTGTTTTTTTTTTTGAAATGTATACATCATTTGTTTAGCCCACTCCTAATGGAAAAAGAGGAAGATGGAAGCCTCCAACCAATTTGTGGGGATCAAATTTAGATCTTAATGTTGCTAAGGTTACCTGAGACTTCCGACCTAGGAGGTGAGGTACTGTCCATCTGGGTTAATCAGTGATGGTTGAGTTGGGCTGTAACATCAAGATATTTGATTGATGGCATGCTTAATCGTATTTTTGGGCAACTTTAATTCATCTATAACTCTATAGGGTTAATGTATGCTATTATTTTGCAGAGATGGGAATGAGGTCGAAGCATGTGCTGAGATATAGTCAGCCCTTTTGTGGAAAATTGCATATTAATTGGAAGATTTTGGACCTGCCTTCTGATCGGCGCATTAGGAGAGCAATGTCAAGAAAAATCAGAATCTGGGATATTTTTCGTTTTGCATCTAACTTATTTTTGTACTAGTTATTTTTCGTGCCAAATAATAAAAAAAATAGTCAATAATAAATATATTTTTATTTATATCTAAAATTAAATCATAAAAAAAATTAAAAAATTTAAGCACTAATTGTAGTGGGGTGAATGGTGATAGTGGTGGTAGCCGTGAGTCACAACGATGATGGTGGTAGTTGCAGCCATGGATGACGGCAGTTGTGGGTGGTGGGGTGACGACGATGGTGGTGTCATTGGTGAGCAGTGATAATGGTGGTGGTGGACAACGATGAGTGTTTCTAGGTGATAGTGTAATGGGTGGCGGGAATGGTGGTAGTTGTGGGTGGCGGCAGTGGTGGGTGTTGATGGGTGGTGGTAGGCGTGGTGAGGGTGGGTGATAATGGTTGGTGACGATGGTGGTAGGTTGTGGTAGTGGGCAACAATGGTGGTTGGTGGGTCTTGACAATGGATGATGGTAATAGTGATAATAATATATGAATGAGATGATGATGGTGGTAGTGGACAACAGTGGTAGCAATTGGTGGGGTGGGGGGTGG